GAGAGAGAGAGAGAGGGGGGGATAATGATTCCCAGACGAAATGAATCAGAATAAATGCATTGACTTTGTTTTAGAAAGGTAAAGTGAAAAAACAACATATCGGGGTAGGGTTTTTTGGGTGTGGGGAGGGGGGGGGGAGTAAAGGAGCACCCTAACCAAGTAATAAAGGCTTACAAGCTTATTGACATGGCGAGGTAAGAGCTGTATAAAAAGAGAAAAAGTACACTCCTACGCGCCATATCGTTGAGCTGAGCAATGCCACTTACAGACCGACAATAAATCTGCCACACGTCCATTTTCACATGGTTTTCTTGTCTGCTTTTGTTTTTCTACCTGCTAACTCCAAATGAAATTTCTTCTTTTAATGTTACAAGAACAATAAGAACCTCTTGAGTTTTGCTCAGTTTCGTATTACTGTGTCGCTGACATGAGTCACAAATACACCGCGCACGCGCGCACAAGCACACACACACACACACAGACAGACATACACACACACACACACACACACACACACACATACAAGGGGCCTCTCGTGGTCTAGAGGTTAAGGTGTTGGCCTCTCATTCAAAGGTCCCGGGTTCGAATCCGGGTAGCGACCGAAAACATTTCTTCTCTAAAGTTGTCTCCTTTCACCTCCTTTCCTGCTCTCTAGCAATGTTCTGTTGTCTGCTTTCATTTCCACTTTCTGCCCCTACCCCCTCACCTCCTTTGCCCCCTCCTATGGGCTCCTGACTCTTTCTGCAGCCTTTCTACTGCTACTCGTTGGCTCCTCCTTACTGCTGTCTTTCTGCCAACACCCCTGATCTTCTGGTAGGAAAGATCTACACCTAGCCTTCTCGGACAAGGGCGAAAAATCTCGGAGGGCCCGTGTGCAACTTGCGCACGTTAAAGATCCCTTGGTGGTCTAAAATCGATAAAAGTAGGCTTCGGCCACCACCCGGGCAAAATTCAAAATTTCCTACAAACTGAAAATATTAGGTGTGTCCCGCGCCCTCATATGACTTTATGCTGTTGCGAGCGCCGTAAAACACTTTACAAAAACAAAACACACACACACACACACACACACACACACACACAGAGACAAACACAGACACACAAACAGCATTGATACATACACACGCACGCGCCAGTGTGTACGCGAGCACTCGTGCACACACATTGATACATACACATACTTACACGTGCGCGCACACAACACGCTCATACCCACTTTATGCATGTACACGCGCTAACAGCACACACGCACACACATGCACACACACACACACACACACACACACACACACACACACACACACACACACACACACATACCTTTACACCCATAGATACGTACATACATACGTACGTACATACATACATACGTACGTACGTACGTACGTACATACGTACGTACGTACGTACGTACGTACGTACGTACATACTTTTGTAAAGTGTTTTACGGCGCTCGCAACAGCGTACATACGTACATACGTACATACGTACATACGTACATACGTACATACGTACATACGTATGTCTTGAGGCCTAGAGGTTAAAGTTTTGGATTCTCATTCAAAGGTCCGGGGTTTGAATCCGGGTAGCGATCGAACAATTCAATTCTCTAAAATTGTCTCCTTTCACCACCTTTCCTGCTTTCTAGCTTTGTTCTGTCGCCTGCTTTCGTCTCTTCTTTCTGCCCCCATTCCCTCACCTCCTTTGCCCCCTCCTCTGGGCTCCTGACTCTTTTTGCAGCCACACCCCTGATCTTCTGGTAGGAAAGATCTACACCTAGCCTTCTCGGACAAGGGCGAAAAATCTCAGAGAGCCCGTGTGCAAGTTGCGAACGTAAAAGATCCCTTGGTGGTCTAAAATCTACAAGAGTAGGCTTCGGCCGCCATCCGGGCAGAATTCAAAATTTCCTACCAAATGAAAAAGTTTAATGTGACCCGCGCTCTCATATGACCATATGCAGTTGCGAGCGCAGTAAGACACTTTCCAAAAGAATACATACATACATACATACATACATACATACATACATACATACATACATACATACATACATACATACATACATACATACATACAA